AGCGCATGTCCGAGCGCACCCCATTCCCGTTCCCTACTTGGGCTCTCTTCGTCACCGAGTTCAAGCTCCGATTCGTCGAGGAGAACGAGCAAGACCACGCCCTGGCGCGACTGGAGACCCATCTGTATTATATGGGCTCCCGTGACGTGTTCAAGTACACGGACGATTACGACGACCTCCTTGATCTCGCCGGCTATACCGACGATCTGGTCAAGGTGACCAAATATAGGACGGGCCTGGATCCGAAGATCAACCAGGCTATCACCACCTCTGGCAACCCTCCCAGGCTTACTGACTACGCCCAGTGGCATGTCCGTGCGTTCCGGCAGTACAATGCGGAACAAGCTGCCAAGGCGTCTCGAGGCCACGTCCCTCCCCCCCGAGCGCCTCCTATCGTCCCTCGTCCTCGTGCCCTGGTGCTCCCTGCTGTAGCACCGGCAATTGCTGCTTGCCCGGCGCCGGCTCCTGTTGCCCACCCCATCCCCATGGAGTTGAATCGGACCCGGCTCCGCGGTGACGTTCGCCGCACCTGCTTCCGCTGCGGCAGTCCGGGCCATCTTGCCCGTGACTGCCCCACCCCAGCTGATATTCGTCACACCGATGTCCTTGATGAGGTCATCAATCAGCTGGGGAGTGATCTGCTTTCCGAGTTGGTTGCTCGGGTCGCGACCACTGCAGCCGTTGCGGATCATGCGTCCAACGTCGCAGCCGAGGAGGAGCAGGGTTTTCTCCCCAGCGACGAGTGAGTAGTACGCCCTCGTTCGCTTCACGTAATCGTTTCTCCTGTTTGTATGATGAATCCAATTCCCTCCACTCTGCAACAGTTGAAGCAATAGACGTACACCCTGCTCCCCCTCTAACCCCACGAGTCCGTAAGGAGAAGTGGGAACGCAAGCTCCCTTCCTGCTATGTCGCTGCCGCCTCTCCCGGGGCCAATTCTCTCCACCTCCCCCTCGAGATCGAGTCCACCGACAACGCAGTGAAGTTATCTCTCAAAGGCCTGGTCGATTGTGGTGCCACATCCGACTTCATCGACTCGGCCTACGTCCTCGAAAATCACCTCCCCGTTCGTCGCCTCACCCAGCCTATCCCCGTTTACAACGTGGACGGCACGCCAAACGAGGCCGGCTCCATTCGTGAAGTTGCTGATGTGGTTCTCCGTTACCAGGGCCACAGTGAACGCGTGCAGCTTGCTGTCACCCGTTTAGGCAAGCAGCAGCTCATTCTAGGGTACTCCTGGCTCCGGAAGCACAACCCGGAGATCAACTGGGATACCCAGGAGGTAAAGATGAGCCGTTGCCCTTCCGGTTGCTCCACCTGCCGAGAGGAACTTCGCGAAGAACGTCGATCTGCCAGAACCGCGGCCCGGGTGCTTCGCACCATCAGACAAGGTCCGGTTCCATCCATCTGCGCTGTCGACGTTGAGGACCACGAGGACGAAGAGATGCCGGGGCTTTCGCCAGACTCGGACGATTATGACCCTGAAGATGTCGAAGAAGATGACGACTCCTTGGAAGCCGGTGACCGTATCTTTTACACCCGCTTCAACCCTTCTGAAAACATCCGAGCCACCAGCACCGTCTCTCAGCGACTCGCCGAGGCGTTTGCCAAGAACTCTGCACCTCCTCGGGATTCCATCCCCGAGTGGGCCCGCGAGTTCGAAGATGTTTTCAGCAAGGAGTCCTTCAACAACCTGCCAGAGCGACGCCCCTGGGATCACGCCATCGAACTGGTTCCCGACGCGAAGCCGACCAACTGTAAGGTCTACCCCATCTCCCCTCTTGAACAGAAGCAGCTCGACAGCTTCATCGAGGAGGGCATGGCTACTGGCAGGATTCGGCCGTCAAAATCGCCCATGGCGTCTCCCGTCTTCTTTGTGAAGAAGAAAGACGGCAGCTTACGGTTTGTCCAAGATTACCGAGCACTAAACGCGATGACAGTGAAGAACCGCTACCCGCTCCCCCTGATCAATGATCTCATCAACAAGCTCAAGGGAGCTCGGTTCTTCACCAAACTCGACGTTCGCTGGGGCTTCAACAACGTGCGCATTCGTCAAGGCGACAAGTGGAAGGCAGCTTTTCGGACAAACCGCGGGCTCTTTGAGCCGTTGGTGATGTATTTCGGCCTGACCAATTCCCCCGCAACGTTCCAGACGATGATGAATGACATACTTCAGGACCTCATCCTCTCTGGCGACGTTATGGTGTACCTCGACAACATTCTCATCGCACATTCCGATATCCACCGTCACCGGGAAATCGTGAACGAAGTCCTCCGACGTCTCCGCGAGAACAAGCTCTACCTTCGCGCGGAGAAATGTGAGTTCGAGATGCCGTCGATCAAATACCTCGGGGTGATCATTTCCCACAACCATGTGGAGATGGACCCGGTCAAGGTCGCAGGTGTGGCGGAGTGGCCAGCTCCGGCTAACAAGAAGGAAGTGCAGCAGTTCCTCGGCTTCACTAACTTCTACCGGAGGTTCATCCGGGATTTTTCGCACATTGCCCGTCCTCTCTTTGACCTCACCAAGAAGGATGTGGCATGGACTTGGGGCGCCAACGAGGCGGCTGCGTTTCTTGCGCTGAAGAACGCCGTTACCTCTACCCCAGTCCTGCAGCTCCCGGATGCTTCCAGGTCTTACCGCCTCGAAGCGGACAGTTCGGACTTTGCGACCGGTGCTGTCATCTCGCAGCAGTCCCCCGTGGATGACAAGTGGCATCCGGTTGCCTTCTTCTCGAAGAGTCTTAACGAGGTCCAGCAGAACTACGAAATCCACGACAAGGAGATGCTTGCCATCGTCCGCGCCTTGGAGGAGTGGCGACACTTCCTCGAGGGCGCCGAGCACCCCGTTGAGATCTGGACCGACCACAAAAATCTGGAGTACTTCCGGAAGGCCCAGAATCTCAACCGTCGTCAAGCCCGCTGGTCCCTCTATCTGTCTCGCTTCGACTTCACCCTGCACCACCAACCTGGCCGCCTCATGGGCCGCCCGGATGCTCTCTCGCGCCGCCCCGACCACGGAGTCGCTTCGGACAACGCAGACGTCACACTGCTGCGCCCGGAGCTGTTCCACGTCCGGGCCTTGGAGGGTCTCACTGTCTCTGGACCCGAAGCCCCTCTCCTGCGCGACATCCGGGAGGCCCTCGCCGGTACCCCCGACATGGAGGAGCCCATTGTGTTGGCAGCACGTGAGCTCCTCAAGGAACGCGGAGTTCGCTCTGCTCGGGCTGCGGAGTGGCGAAAAGAAGGCGGCCTGCTCTACTTCTGTGGCAAGCTGGTGGTTCCACGCAACAACGACCTCCGCCGACGCATCCTCGAGCAGCACCACGACACCCGCGTCGCAGGGCATGCCGGCCGCTTCAAGACGTTGGAGCTGATCTCTCAGAACTACTGGTGGCCCCAGTTGTCTTGACACGTCGGCCGGTATGTGGCCACCTGCGACCTGTGCTGCCGAACCAAGGCGCTCCGCCAACTCCCAATCGGGGAACTCCATCCCACGGAGGTCCCTTCGGAGCGCTGGGAAGCGGTGTCAGTTGACTTCATCGTGCATCTGCCAGACGCTCACGGGTATGATGCTATCATGGTCGTTGTTGACATGCTTGGGAAGCGCAGCCACTTTATAGAGTGCCACACCCGGCTCTCTGGTGAAGGTGCCGCCAGGCTTTTCTACAAGAACGTCTGGCGCCACCATGGGCTGCCGTCCAAGTATGTCTCTGACCGTGGCTCCCAGTTCATAGCAGAGTTCACGCAGGAGCTGTGGAAACTGGTCAGGGTCTCATCGGCAATGTCTACGGCTTGGCATCCACAGACGGACGGCCAGAACGAGCGTGTGAACCAGGAGCTCGAGCAGTTCCTCCGGATCTTCACCAGCTACAACCAGGACGACTGGGACGAGCTGCTTCCCGCTGCCGAGTTTGCCTACAACAACCATATTCACTCATCCACGCAGCAGGTCCCGTTCATGACCGACACCGGTCGACTCCCTCGCATGGGCTTCGAGCCGAATGGACCACGCTCAACTGTGAACGAGTCGGCAAACGACTTCCGCGACCGCATCGCGTCTGGAGTCGCGGAGGCCAAGTCGGCACTGGTGAAGGCAAAGGATGAGTACAAGCAGTACTACGACCGCCGGAGGGTCTCGGCTCCAGACATCAAGGTCGGAGATCGAGTCTGGCTTGACGCTTCTGACATAGCAACAACGCGCCCGTCCCTCAAACTCTCTCATCGACGGCTGGGTCCCTTCAAAGTCACCCAGGTTGTTGGGCGCGGCGCTTACAAGCTTGACCTCCCTCGCCGCCTCTCTGGTCTTCACCCGGTCTTCCCCGTCGTCAAGCTGCAGCTCGTTGAGGACGACCCGTTCCCAACACGCCCAGCTCGCGAGGAGCCGCCACCTGTCATGGGCCAAGGAGCTGGCGAGGAGTGGGAAGTCGAAGAGGTTCTGGATGCCAAGATGCGCTATCGGAGCATTTGGTACTTTGTGCGGTGGAAGGGCTACGATTCGTCGCATGACCAATGGGTTAAGCACTCTGATATCTTCGCAGAGGACGCTATAGCGGCATTCTACCGCAAGCACCCCAACAAGCCACGCATCATTGCCGCCGCCATCTTCGACTCCCTTCCGTTCCAGCACCCCTCTGCCACCATCCGCACGTTGCATCGAGGCGCCGCAATCCAAGGGGGGGGTGATGTCAGGGGAACCCCCGTTTCGGACCGCTCTGCCTTCGATCAGGCATGTGATTGCGCTCGCGTGACCTGTCAGCTGTCACGTACCGCGGCCCGGACTGCCGCGCCGAGCGCTTCTCCTTGATGGGCACATGGCCAGGTGCCCCATTGTTCCTATTGTCCCCGCTCCCATTGTTCTGTCATGGCTGTTGTACTTATTATCCCCATTGTTCTTTGTTTGTCGCTGCGTGCTCCATTGTTCTTGTATCATATAAATAGTGGCGCCTGGCAAGGAGAATCCCCAACACGGTTTCTCTTTGGATTCTCCCTTGCCAGGTATGCCGGTCCTGTACCTAGCTACCACTATTAATCACCTTTGGATTCTCCCTTGCCAGAACTCTGAGATCGGGTCTCGAGGTTGCCCTTACAGCCGAGGAAAACAGTACTTGGTCAAATGGAAGGGATGGCCGCATAGCAAAAACACCTGGGAACCATCACGTCACCTTACCCACACAAAGAAGGTCCTAAGAGATTGGCAGAGGAAACAATCAAATCCAGACACACGCATTTGCCTCCTGCCAACGCTCGAAGCAGGACACTGGGACTATCTCATTCATCGCTACAAACCCAGGGACGAGCGCCTTCCATATCCCCAACGACAACTCTTCGACCCTTACAAGAACGTCTTCCTACCCATTGGCCTAGTCGATGAGGACATCGACCCTAGACAGGGGGTAATGTCATAGTTCGGTCACTTTTTCATCTTATCATTGACGATCTTATCTTATCTTGGCACGACTTATCTTATCACGGATCACGGCATCAGACGATCCGGACTAGGGGTTCCAGGGATTATCTTCATCGATTCGAGGCTGCGTGACATATGCTCCAGAAGGTTCTACTACAACCCATGACCAGCGTTCCATGCGGTACATAGCCCTATGACTCATTAGTTGTAGATATGACTCAGACTGGATTTGGGTATAAATACTGTAGCTACTTGGTTGTATTCTCCAGTCTTCGAATTCACTTCTCTTTTCGACTTTGTTTTTGGGTTGATTGTCACAGTACTGCAGCCGCTATCGAGCAGCGCCTTGACTCCGCGCGTTTTTCCCGAGTCCAGACCCGTGATCTGAACATATACGTCCATTGAATGCCTCTTTCTTTCGGCCTGGTAACTGCGCAACTCCTGTGCCAACTTGCTGGGTTGGGGGCCCTTCTGTTTCTCGGCCGCCAATTTCCTCTGGACAGCATCTGGCACCCTGGTGCGTTTGGGTGCTTCTGGAACCTTGATTTTGGCAGATTCCTTAGGCGCTTCCTCCTTTTCCAAGGATTGAGCCTTCGGAGCGGTGCTCCCCTTTTTGGTCTTTGTTGACGTGGTTCCTTCTCCACGAGCCATAAATACGTATGAATCCAAAATTCATTTATCTGCAGCTTTCTGATCCTTTTTACTTTGTAAATACTCTCTAGTTAAAGCTATTTTTCTTTGGCGTTCTTTTTCCATATCAGCAATGAGAAAATCGTGAATATTGGTACGTAGTGAGTCCAAGATTGTATGTGTATGTGCAGAATCGTTCATGTCTTTAATTGAAACAAGTACAGAAAATCGTCCATAGTCCGGACGCTCCACCTCCTTGGCTAGAGGAGTGGAGCGCTTCAAAAACCCTTCTCACATAGCTTCTCGGCAATCTCCTTGAGGAACTCGTTGTCCTTATCCCCGTTCTCGATCTCTTCCAGCATTGTGGCCCGATTGAAGAACGTGCGCTTCTTCTTGGGCTCCGGACAATTCCGCGCGATGTGCCCAGGCTGCTGACAGTTGTAGCAGATGATATTGCGGCCGCGGGCATGGGTGCGATCGATTTCCATCGGGACCGGTTTGTTGGCAGCCGGCCGGGTCGGAGCAGGCGTGGGCGCCGCTGGTGCTGCCTGAGGGCGGAATTGGGGAGGAGGCCGTGGAGTCGAGTGCGCATAGGAGGCCTTACGCAGCTGATCGCGCAAAGCATTGGCCTCGATGTTGACACACCAGTTCTTGAAGGCACCATATGCCTTGGGCAGGGGAACGCCGGTGTTGTAGAGGCGGCTTGCAATTTCGCTGCTGAGTCCATGCTCCAGGAACTCGATGAGGATATTGTCCTGTTCCCCCTTCTTGTACTCGCCCTTGCTGTTGGTGGAGGTGACCACGTTGTACCCCGCATCTGCAGCCAGCATTTCGAAGTCGGAGATGTAGTCCGCAAAGGATCGTCTGCCCTGGCGAAGGGCCATGAGTCGGGCGGCGGCGACTTGCTCTGCGTTAGAATCCCCAAAGGCCCTCTGAAGCTCCTCCAAGAAGCTTGTTGCGGTGACTCCCGCCTTTAGTCCTTGGAAGCCCTCGAAATTGTGCTGCTTCCAGTTCATCGCCCATCTTGAGGCGGCGCAGCTTGTGCCGCTCTCATTTCGGAGGTAGGACAGGACGAAGAGGATTTTTGTCTTGTCCAGCAAGAACTCCGACCGATAGGCACCGATGTAAGTGGTGCACGCGTCCACAAAGCCCAGGTACTTGGACTTGTCGCCATCAAAGTAGGGGGGATTGGCGGCGAGGGTGATGCGGTGATGTCCTGACATGGTAGGAGCAGGTGCGGTAGGTGGGGGCGAGGGTGGTTGTTCGGAGGGTAACTCGCCAAGGTCGGGGATCTCGTCTTCAGGCGGCGGGAGGGCGAGGTAGGGGTTGGAGGGCCCGGGTTGGTTTTGATGCGCCAGATCGGGCGACGATGGTATGATGGGAGGATGAGACGGACTCCCAGACGACAATGGGAATCGGAACGAAATGGTGGATTCGTGTGCTGTACAAGCACTCGAGCGAGGGTTCTTTTGCTAGCAAAAAGATCCCGGGCCTAGCTCTTCACGTGCCCGATGATCCCAAGGTGCGTTTTCCCGAAGGTCTCCGCAGCACTCCTTGTAGCTACCGTAAGGCTTGGGTCGGGCTCAACGTTACCCGTGGCCTGGTGCTGTTTGCTTGATATGAACCTTTCACTGTGATTGCAGCGAGCGACTAGATGATTTGGTAAAAGGGTGAGTGGGGTGATAAGGGTGAAGAGGATATAGCGGGCGTAGCGGTGCACGGAGCAGGGTAGGAGGTGAGAGGTACGAGGGTATGAGGGGAGTCTTCGAATTATGTGACAATCAACCCAAAAACAAAGTCGAAAAGAGAAGTGAATTCGAAGACTGGAGAATACAACCAAGTAGCTACAGTATTTATACCCAAATCCAGTCTGAGTCATATCTACAACTAATGAGTCATAGGGCTATGTACCGCATGAAACGCTGGTCATGGGTCGTAGTAGAACCTTCCGGAGCATATGTCGCGCAGCCTCGAATCGATGAAGATAATCCCTGGAACCCCTAGTCCGGACCGTCTGATGCCATGATCCGTGATAAGATAAGTCGTGCCAAGATAAGATAAGATTGTCGATGATAAGATGAAAAAGTGGCCGAACTATGACAAGTACCTGCTGTATCGATACCGACTACGCACGGGCGGAGAAGTTGGATATCCAAGAGCTCCCACAACTCATTGTGGCTCGTAATGCCGACAACACCGAGAACATCAGCGGTAGGATCACGCACTACGTCGATCTGAGGATGAGAATTGGTCCTCATGTGGAGACACGCACGTTCCTTCTGACGTGCTTGGGGAAAGCCCGGATTTTCATCGGTCTCGATTGGCTGATGGAACACAACCCCGAGGTGGATTGGCAGGAGCAGACCATGAGATTCAGCCGATGCCCAGAGCGGTGTCACATGAGGGGTCATGAGGAACATCAAGCAATGATTGACATGGATGCAATTGACCTGGACACGGGCACACCGGATCTGGAAGAGGGAGAATCGATCTTGTTGGTCGATTTTGGGAAGGAAGTAGACCTACGGCTGAAGGAAACGCCAGCGCAGAAATTCGCAGAAGAAGCAGAAAAGGAGAAAGAGAGAATGACCGAGGGAAAGATCCCAGATCAATATCGGGAATTTGTCAAGGTGTTTGCCAAGGAATCGTTTGACTCACTACCGGACCGACGGGCATGGGATCATGCGATTGAGCTCAAACCTGGTTCCAAAGCAGTGGACTGCAAGGTGTACCTGTTATCACGCAATGAACAAGTCAAACTCGATGAATTCTTACAAGAGAACCTGGCCAGTGGACGGATCAGGCCATCAAAATCACCCATGGCATCAGCATTCTTCTTTGTCAAGAAGAAGGATGGCGCGCTACGTCCCGTCCAGGATTATCGGAAGCTGAACGAGATGACAATCCGGAATCGATACCCGCTGCCGCTGATCTCCGAACTGGTCCATAACCTATGCGGTGCAAAGTTCTTCACCAAGCTCGACATCCGGTGGGGATATAACAACGTACGGATCAAAGAGGGCGACGAGTGGAAGGCTGCATTCCGCACGAACTGAGGGCTGTACGAGCCCTTGGTCATGTTCTTTGGTCTCACAAATTCCCCGGCAACGTTCCAAAACATGATGAACGACATACTCCGAGAGTTGATCAACGAGGGTCACGTGGTAGTCTATCTGGACGATATACTGATCTTCACAGAGAATTTGGACGAACATCGGCGGATCACAAAACAAGTGCTTGAATTGCTCCAGAAACATAAGCTATACCTGAAGCCCGAAAAGTGCGAGTTCGAACGCACGGAAATCGAATATTTGGGCGTAATTATCGGACACAATTCGATGCGGATGGACCCAGTCAAGATCAAGGGCGTGATGGAATGGCCAGAACCAAAGAGCGTCAAACAGGTCCAAGCTTTCCTCAGATTCACAAACTTCTATCGACGCTTTGTCCGGGGATACGCGGAGGTCGCCAAGCCATTGACACGGCTGACAGGGAAGGCAGGATGGTCATGGGGTATGGATGAGCGCGCAGCATTCGATGGGTTGAAGAAGAGAATCGCGGAGGATGCGGTCTTAGCACTGCCAAACAACACCGGCCAATATCGTCTGGAAGCCGATGCTTCGGAAGGGGCAACAGGCTCCGTTTTGAGCCAAAAACAAGACGGCATTTGGCGCCCAATCGCATTTATTTCACACGCACTGACCAAAACCGAGCGAAATTACGAAATCTACGACAAAGAAATGCTTGCAATCATGTTATCGCTCGACGAATGGAGGCAGCTGCTCCTGGGAGCCACGGAAACGTTCGAGATCTTCACCGATCATCAGAATCTCAAGTACTTTCGGAAGCCGCAGAAGCTCAATCGACGACAAGCACGATGGATCACGGAGTTGGCGGAGTTTGATTTCACCTTACGACACCGACCCAGCGCACTCAACCGCAAGGCGGACCTCCTGTCTCAACAAGCAGATCACGATCAGGGCAAGAACGACAACAAGGACATCACGCTACTGAAGCCCGAGTTCTTCCGATCACAAGAAGTCACATTCGAGGGACAGGATCAGCAGCTAGTTGATGAGATCAAGACCACTCGATCAATTGATGGAAGCGTCAAGGCGGCCTTGGAGAAGTCACTCGCTGGATGGAGAAAGGAAGACAGGCTCATCACATACCACGGGAAGCTCTACGTACCGAGGGACGAGGAACTGCGAGACAAGATCATCGGGCTACACCACGACACACCCTTGGTCGGACACGCTGGGATCAATCGAACGCAGGAAATGGTGGAAAGGAACTACTGGTGGCCAAGGATGGGGAACCAAATCCGGAAATACATCCAGACGTGCGAGGCGTGCCAGCGGACCAAGACCAGGAGAGCGAGGACGGGGACTCTACACCCGCATGCAGTTCCAAATGCGCCATGGGAAATCATCTCGATGGATCAAATCGGACCCCTGCCGGTTAGTAATGGGTATGACGCAATCCATGTGTGGTGTGACACCTTCACCAAAATGATCCATGTCGAACCAATTAGTACTGACATCAGCAGTGAAGGAGTCGCACGATTAACCAGGGACCGAGTCTTCTGCTACCACGGGATCCCCCGCAAGATCATCACCGACAGGGATTCGCGTTACATCAAGGGCTTCATGAGGGAGACAAATCAGATGTTGGGCGTGGAAATGAATCCGGGGACTGCATATCACCCGATCACAGATGGACAAATGGAACGCATGAATCAGGAGATCGAGCACTATCTCCGCATCTACGTCAATTACCATCAGACAGACTGGTCGGAGTGGCTGGGAATAGCGGAGTTCGCATATAACGACAAGATGAACACGTCTACCAAAATATCACCATTCTACGCCAATCACGGATATCACCCATGGAAGGGAGTGGAGCAACGGATGGAATCGAGGAACAAGTCAGCGGAGGAGTTTGTAAAAAGAATCAAAGAAATACAAGACGAAGCAAAAGCAGCATTGGAAAAAGCCAAAGAAAAAATGAAAAAATACTACGATAAACAAAGAAAAGAAGTTCTGGAGTTGAAGGTTGGGATGAAGGTGTACATAGAAGGGGAAAATATCGAGACGGATAGACCATCGAAGAAGATGAGCGACAAGAGATTAGGACCATACGAGATACTGGAGAAGGTTGGAGCGGCCGCATGGAAGCTGGATTTGCCGGACACAGACCGAAGACACCCGGTGTTCAACAAGTCACTATTGACACCATATCACGAACCACCCCCCCCATCGCCAAGAGAAGAGACCCGTAGCCAAGATGATCGGAGGAGCAGAGGAGTGGGAAGTCGAAGAGATTGTGAAAGAGTGAAATGTCGGCCGAGGAAAACAGTACTTGGTCAAATGGAAGGGATGGCCGCATAGCGAGAACACCTGGGAACCATCACGTCACCTTACCCACGCAAAGAAGGTCCTAAGAGATTGGCAGAGGAAACAATCAAATCCAGACACACGCATTTGCCTCCTGCCAACGCTCGAAGCAGGACACTGGGACTATCTCATTCATCGCTACAAACCCAGGGACGAGCGCCTTCCATATCCCCAACGACAACTCTTCGACCCTTACAAGAACGTCTTCACGCCCATTGGCCTAGTCGATGAGGAAATCGACCCTAGAGAGGGGGTAATGTCATAATTCGACTCTTTTTCATCTTATCCTCGACGATCTTATCTTATCTCGACATGGATTATCTTATCGCGGATCACGGCATCTGACGGTCCGGGCTAGGGGGACAGGGGTCATCTTTATCGATTCAAGGCTGCGCAACATATGCTCCAGAAGGTTCTACTACGACCCATGACCAGCGTTCCATGCGGTACATAGCCCTATGACTCATTAGTTGTAGATATGACTCAGACTGGATTTGGGTATAAATACTGTAGCTACTTGGTTGTATTCTCCAGTCTTCGAATTCACTTCTCTTTTCGACTTTGTTTTTGGGTTGATTGTCATAGAAAGTTGATTTCTTGCTCCAGCTCATGTTGCAGAATGTGATCTAGCATAAGAAGTGTCCAGTCACTTGACAGAGAGTAATGAACAACGCACTTGAAATGCAATCCTTTGCTGAAAGAAGCAGCAAAGACTCTTGATCAATCCAACGCAGCATGTTTTCGCTCTCTCGGGACAGGCGAAGCCCTTCCTCATGACAGCGGTCCAGTACATGGAGACTTGAAATTCCCTGACGGACATTTTCATCGCAGAGCCACAATGGGACATCCCCTTCCGATGGAGTGATCCATACATCTTCGAAGAGGTTGGTATGAGACTTGAGCTTGTTTAGCTTGGTAGGAAGTGGGAGAGGGATGGGAACAGAGCAGTGTGGAGGCTGAATCTCTTCCAGTCGAGAGCAAAAGGAATTGAATTTGTCGATAAGACGATGCAGCGTTGGCTGACATTTCGAAAGAGCTTTGCGCGCTGCTTGATGAAGCTTTGTACCTAGATTGCAGATGGAAACATGTCAGTGCGGTGGCGTAGTGTACGCGGGGGTGCGCGCGGGGGTGCGTGCGGGGCGGGGGTGAATTTGGGGGCGCATGGGGGAGGGACTTACCCAGTGGCTCCCATCGTCCTTGGACAGCACGGTCTAAATTCTCCCATTCCAAAAATGTCCTAATTGCTTGTTTGCGAATCTGAATCTTGAGGTCCCTCATCAGCAGCAGGATCTGCACAAATTCAAAGGGAAGTCCAGCCAGCTCTGGATAATGAGTCTCCAGGTTGAGTGAAGTGAACAGATGCTCAGCTTGTTGACTGAGCTTGACATGAGTGGATTGCAGATCCTGGATCGCAATATGTGCTGCCTCCGAGCTCTGTCTATCTTCAACAGTCTTTTGGAGTTGCTCCAGAGTGTCATCAATATCTTCAATTTGATTTTGAAGGCTGACTATCTTGCCAAGCTCACGTTGGACTTGAACAGGGGGGCCTGGGAGAGTGTTTTGAGTGAAGATCCTTCTCAAGGGAAGATGATATACTTGAATGAAGTGATACCTGGGCACTCAGTTGAGCCTGCCAGTGTGATCGCAAGTCCTGAATGGCCACGTCTGCAGCATTGATCCGTCTCATGGACTGATTGATCTTTTGGGGAATGTTCTTATTGAATTGCCATTCAATCCAACTACCTAGACTGATGATTCCTTCATGATTGACAAAGGAAACAAATTCATCTAGGGTGGCTATGCGCCGTGAGGTCTGTGGATGTGTCAGAATGATAAAAAGCAACAGAAATATGTAGGGATACCCATTGATTACGAGTCAGAGGAATCAATCTTCTTATCCTTGACCAAAGTCTTTCTACACCTTCTGAATCAGTGAGACCCATACCCAACTTCATGCGTGGGTTGTAGACCAATTGGCAGGCCCATTGATGTCCAAATGCATGCATTGCATTCAGAGAGAATGATACGCGAGATCGCAAATGGGCAGAAAGGATGGGGAACTTCGGAGTATAGTCAGCATTGATATGGACTCTATCAAGGGGTGCAGCGGGGGGTGCGGCGGGGGGTGCGGCGGGGGGTGCGGCGGGGGTGCCACAGAGGGGTGCGGCGAGGATAGAAGTGACAGACTGTGAATGGGAATGCACGTACCAAATTGTTACTCCGGTCAAGAACACAACCAATATCATAACATTGCGTAATGGTTGCATTGGATGGCAGGAGTGAGGCCACCTTCTCCAAGAGCGCAATTATGCAGTGCTGCTGCTCTCCTGGAGTGTCTATATCACACATGAACAGGACTTGTGAGTGACAACATGTCAGTGCAAAGATGCCAGTGGAGTCATAGCGCTTTGGATCCCCCTTTTGTTTGTGCTCATTTGCGGCAGTCCATGACTCTCCACAGGCATCCACAATATCAGCTGAAATTAGAGACTCTTTGAGAGGCTTCGGAGATTTCCTCGCCAAAAGCACAGTCTCTTTGACCTTGTGAACCTCTTCAGGTGTCAGGAAGTACTCCTGACTGAACAAGGATGGTCCGTTGCCAGCAGCTCAGAGATGACGATAGTTGAAGCAACCATCAGCACCAAATTGGACATCCCCACCGCTGAGAATATAAGTCAGTCACTGGTGATCAGAGTCAGAGGAAAATCGAACATAGCAAGTGGACGGCCCCATTCCTTCAGGGAAAAACACAAGGGACACCGGCTCTGTAGAACCTGATTTGCAGATCCAGGGACCAGCAAGAGTTGATCATCAGATTTGACGGTGTGGTTGGCAGGGGTAAATGACGCGGGGGGTGCGGTGGGGGACGCGGCGGGGGGTGCAGGGGGGGGTGCGGCGGGGGGTGCGACAGGGGGTGCACCGAGCATGGACACCTCGCAAGGTCCTGTGATTGAGACTGATGGATGTGGCTCAGCATGTGCAGGGGAAATTTCACAGGTGGAAGCTATGGAGTCTCTTGGAGATGATCCGGTGCTGCTACGGCGATACTCTCTGGCCAAGGCATCATTGACCATTTTTCGGATATGCTGTTGAATGCTGCTGTACACATGCACTGCCTGGGATAAGGCTTGTCGAAGAGGATCAGCAGCATGTTCACCATCAAACTGGAATATGTATCAGAAATAAAGTGCAAAAAAAGCGGAATGAAAGAAGCAACTCACGGTTTTGGACATCAGCTCAAATCCTCTGGTATTATAGAGGGTTGTTAGAGCGTTTGTGAATGCTTGAATGGCGATGCAGGAGCGTTGAAACAATGCCTGGTATATCTCCAATGTATTGACTGTAACAGCAATTTGTGGCTTGCTAGGTGAGGTGGCCAGAGCACCATGCTCCAGTAGAACAGTTGCAGGGGGAACACAAGAACATGTTCGGACATTGATATGTTGAAAATCTGGTCAAATGTCAGGCAAAATCTGTTCAGGCAAAATTGAAACACACATGAGATGTGGAGACATAGGACACGAATTTTAGTTGGGGTACAGGCAGGATTTTCACAATTTTGATGAATGGTTTCAGCGAGTGATGCGGGTAGACATGCAAAGGATGATTTCCGAAATGCCAGCAGAGAGATGGCAAGATCAGGGATGAGATTGATCCACACAGAAGAGGCCTGCATAGCACGTGGCTTCCTCTGCATAGCATGTGGTCACGCAAGAATTTCAGGGATAAATGGCGGCATTCCAGCCCCAACACCCAGCCATGCGGCGGGCCCCGCGGCACCCCCACGGCAACCCCCGCGGCACCCCCTGCGGCGGGCCCCGCGGTAGGGCCCGCGTCATGTGCAATATCTTCCCATAGATCCTTGCTCATTGCGCTTGTTTCATCCACTTCCATTCGATCCTCAAGGATTATATGCTCCTCCATCCGTTGTCCAGACGGTTCGGTTTTCAAATCTGCTGATTTTGGGTCAAGCAAAGAATTCATCTTCTGAGCCAGAAGATTTGCGCGAGCGTTGCGGCCCATGGGTATTGTCAAGACGTTTCGAAGCTTGTGCCGTCCCTTCACTGGACTGGTGGGTCGAATGCTTTGCCCTGAAGGTTTTCCTGGCTGCTTTCTTGGTGGTGGCTTTTTGGGGGGCATCCTGGGAGGAAGAGGCAGAAGGAGATCGTCATGGGAAACAAAGTAATCATATATCAGGGAACCCAGCGGCACTACGGCGTGAGCGTACAAATATGGAACAGATCAACCCCGCAGATGACCCCGCCAGATGATGGGATCATGCCCATCACTGCTGCAGTGCGGCGGGCGCAGCGGTCCAGGTTTTGCATTCAGTGCTTCGCTTTTTCGATATTTGAGGCACAGGACAGACTGGAATAGCATCCCGGTTTTTCCGGCAGCTATTTTTCTTTTTTTTTTGCGCTCGGTCACGTGACCAAACTGCCCGCCGCCCCCGCGCATTGTGCACCATGGAGAGCCCTGAAAATCGCACCGAATGGCAGCAAAAAAGCTGGGAGGAGGTCACGTGAATGTGCGCCTACCGCCCGCCGTGGCATGCGGGGGGGTCAGTAATGACCCCGCCAGCACCCTGCCAGCCCCCGCCAACATTTTTAAAAATTATCACTTCAGCTGTCACGTGCTTTTTTTATCCCGCCATCCCGCCCATGCAGCGCGTCATGTGATTGGATTTTTTTTTCCCACCCAGCTACCCGCTCTTATGGACAAGTCACATGCTACATACACCCCCCCTCCTCCTGACCCCCGCATATGCCCCTGCTACTAAATCGACTAAATGGCCCCCCCACCCCCCGCCAGGGGGTACCTACTGGGTACCCTCAGCAAGACGTCTGAGGGTACCCAGTAGGTACCCCGCGGGGGGAGAACCGCATGATGGCGGTGGTAACTGAGGTGGAATACAGAATAGGGCCAAGCAAGCCCCACGGCAGGATTGATGGCAGAATAGCGTGACACGCCTTTGTCTTTCCTCTTCTACGATTATATTCTACTTTTTTCTTTACTCTACGCCGATAATGACCCGTAGTGGCACCCACTGGAGCGATATTCAGACGCAAGCCATGATCGACTGGCTTCTTGACCCCGATCCGCATCGCCAGGGTAAGCGAAGCGGCCATGGCCTCAAACCTGAAGTCTACGAGGAACTGGCAGCTGCAGCGACGAAGGCTGATCCCGAGACGCCTCGTAACGCATCCCAGGCCAAGTCGCGCTTGGATTATGTATGTACTCATCTTCTCTCTCTACAGCGTGCAATGATCTTTGTTCGCAGCTTCGTGCGCTCATCATGCTCTACCTTTTTGTACGCAACAAGAGTGGAGTGTCCTTTGACAGTGAGAGAGGGATTGCTTCTGGAAACACATCAGACTTCGTGCAGGAGTTTGCGAAGGTGCATTAACACCAGTTCTACACTCCTACAAGTTACACCATACTCATACCACTCAACCGCAGAAGTACGGCAACAAGTACAAGACGTGTTTCCAGCGACCCTGTCCCTTCTTCCATAACCTCATCTCTCTCTACCATGATGGGAGTGACCGTGCCACTGGGGAGAATGTTGTACATCTCCATCAACCGAGCATGATCCTCCTCAACATCAAGGCCCGTGCTGACAAGGAGAACAAGCCACCCTCCCCTGCCACCTACCGCACACTTTCCGAGATCATGTCTATCAACGACAGCAGTGATGAATACACCTCTGTCACGGTGCCAGATAAGGACACCAAAGCAAAGGCCGGTGATGTGAAAGGCCGCAATGCGAAGAAGCAGAAGGGAGAGTGGAAGAAGAAGAAGAAGGCCAAGCAGGAGACTGCGCAGGATAAACAGTTTGATAATGAGCTGTTCTCGGTGCGTCTTCATCTGACTATATGCGCTGCATCCGGGCTCACACAATCTAGTCACCAATCAAAGCGACTGGAAAACGTGCCTGTGCTGAAAGTGAAGAGGATGAGGATGATGACAGCGACTCAAAGCCCCTGCCCCGCCGCCGCCGTACCAGCACCAATGCCAATGCAATCGAGCTGGTTGCCAAATCAGTCCATACACTTTCAGCAGCAATCACAAAGCCCATTACAACTGCCGAAGACCTCTCCCACATTGACGCCATCATTGAAATCCTGGCCGACTCTACACTTCTGCCTGAGGATCCCGATGGTGACCTCTACACCACTGCTGTACAAGCTTTGAGCCGCGAGCCGGTCATGGCTCGTATTCTCATCCGTGAGAAGGATCACCAGCGCCGTAAGGCCCATATTGCACGTGTCATAGCTAATGCCGCCACCTCCACTTGACTACTTATCGCATCCTTGCATTATACACTCGCATGATCATACCTCTCACTGCTTTGTCCATTCCTTATCCCAGTCTCGCCTTGTCATGTTGTAATGCCCGTGTAATTCCTGTAATGATTCTTCCAGCTGTACTGCCATCCAATACATATCCGTTTGTATTCTACACATTGAGCTCTGGGCGATCTGCCACAAACTTGTGCCACATTGCCTCCGCTATCCGATCTCGTCGCGCATCAGCTCTGAGCTTCTCTGCTTTGTCAACTGCTTGAAGCGGGATCATGGGCCCAGCATGATTCCCAGGCCCTGCCAGATATGGATCACCATGTACATCGTAACCCTCCTCGTCTTCAATCTCTTGAAGCGATTGGTGAACACGCAAGAAATTGTGCAATGCCGTGCAGGCTCCAACCATCAGTGCCTGCTGTTGGTAGCCAAATTCTCATTGCGATGTCAAAATGGGGAAACATCGCTTGATGACGCCAAAACTCCGCTCAATCACATTGCGCAGTCTAGCATGGCGAAGGTTGAACAGCTCTTGTGGGTTCCTCGGTCTGACTATGATGAGCAGCAAGAAATGAACTTGAGAAATCCATACCGTTGATTTCCTGTGCGCCACTCTTTCAGATGGTACCTCACTCCGCAATATGGTGTCATCAGAATATCACAGTTGGGGAATCCGGCATCAGCTAGGTAGAAGCAACCAACCTCAAGGGTGTATCCATTCTCATGAGCAACCTGGAACAGCAACCCATCACCCGCAGTGCCTTTGTACCCAGGCATGGCATGCAAAAAGCGGAGGGAAAAGTCGCATGTGGCAAGTACATTCTGTGTGATGAGTCCATGTCGGTCCCGATGGCAAGCTAGGTGATCCGCAGATGCATATGCAAGGACATGGACGCCGTCAACAGCTCCTCGACAGTAGCAAAAGAAAGGGTAGTATCTTGGGTTCTTGCAAATGGTCTCCAGGGTTTTGTTGGCAGGGAGGCAGACATAACGTTGATAGAACACATCTGTCAGTGCAATCAGACCGCGGTTAACGTAGCGGCTGATTGTGTCACCTGATCGCTGGAACCGCTCTTGTAACTCCCATTGACTGCTGCCATGAACCATCCAATATACCATGATTGCAAGCTGCTCTTGGCCGCAGATGTAGCGGCTATCTTCAATAGCCCGCATGGACAGCAGCTCCCCATACAAGAGGCAGAACTGGATTGCGCTCATCCCTAGCGCGCGCGAGCACCGCATTGGATGTCCAGCCAAAATCTCATCCAGCCACGCAAGCCCACTGAGCACGGAGGTGTGCATGGGTACAGGAATGCCGAGAGAGAAAGCCGTGCTCGTCAAAAAGATCACTGCAAGGGTGGCCATTTGCAGGGCAGATCGCTGAGACTTGACTGCCTGGAGCTCATCGCGCTTTGCTGCAGCTTGTTTTTGATAGCGGTGGACGCGTTTCGTACGTGTTACGGGCATGGAGAGCACAGATACGCAGGCCCCGTCGTGGTATACAGACAGGTCGGAATCGCATTACATCAGTGTGACAACCTGTGACCTATTCTGCCGCAGAATAATTCTGCTGCAAACCTGCGGCAGCCGATCAGGCACTAAGTTCCTTCGGGAAATTTGAAGACCACGTGACTTTGACAGTCAAACGCTCACAATCCTCGAATCCGCGATGTTAGCTTCCTTATCCCTAACCATGACCACCCTTTATGTTGCTAATTCATCTAACCCAATGGCAGATCCTGTCGCGGTTACGGTTCAAACCGGGGACGACATAGCTGATTTGAAAGAACTCATTCTGGCGGAGTGGGGTCCTCGCGGTCTGGGTCTGGCACAAGAAAATATTCGATTATGGAAGGTTCGTTGTTGCCGTATCTAAGGTTCCTTATGACGTGACACCGCCCAACAGCCCAAACGAAAAATCCCCCTGGTTCACTGCGCGAGAGTGTTGGAAGAATATCGTCTCAATCTTGGCGTTATTGCCACTGCATTGTTTGTGACTGACGATGCCAATTTGCTCGGCCCAAGGGCAAGCCCGAACAACGAAATCAACGTTATTGTAGAGATCATGCCAGCCTGGCAGCTACCCATTGGCCCGCCTCTAGACAAGCCCGATGAAGAGCGAGATACGATAGGGGCCATGAACAGCCGTAGGTGAACTTACCATTCATAGTGTATTCACTAACGATCCATCCGTCCAGGGTATCGGAATCTAGTCCGGAACGCGCGAGCTCCAAGGTCGCCATCCTACTCGATCAAATCGACAAACTACCGAGAAGTGCAAGGCGGCGACTATCCGATATACGATGGACGTTATCATCATACGCGTGGGATGTCCACTATGGCCCCCCCTATTCATTTATACAATCCTGCGTTTGCCCGCTTTATGGATGATGCCGCCAATCTCGCGCTCGAAGTACCTAATCAAATCGTGCTCGCCACAGCGGACCTCATGCGCAAGGCATCAGCAATATACGATGACGAATACACTCGACGAAGCAAGATTCGCCCCGCCCTCAAAAATGTCATTGCTTGTGGAACTACCCAGCTCGTCAGTGACGATCGCACAACACCAGATGGTGGCGTCATGTGGACGATGTGCGGGACAGACGGATCCCTCGGTGATACTGTCGCGCTCTTGATTGAGGAGGAGAACTCCGAGCTTGGGGAGGGCGGCTGCGACGCTTCTATCCAAGCGTCATTTTCAATGCTGAGATATTGGGCACAACGCAACGCAAGTCTCTTTTTACCTCTCTGGCCCGTTAATCAAACCCCCTGGTCTAGAATGATGATGTTCGTGAGCGATGCTGTTGCCCTACCTTCTTGATTGCCTTAGCTGGTCCCTGGCTGGCTGTACTGGGTGCCGTAATAACCGACAAGTGCATTGTGCAGCGTCTCACCGACTTCATCTGGTTGGGCAACGGAGCCGTTCTGAATGACAGCAGGCAGTGTCTCCGAGTCGCCCGTATTCTTCACTCACTGACGCGCTCTCTGGGACATCTGCATCGATATTACGCCGCATTAACACCCTCCAACAACCCCGAACCGTCCAGATTCTTCCCATCGCCGACTACTTTCCTTTATTGCGGCGCACCGGTCCATTTCGATTATCTCGAGGCTCTAGAACGCGACTCAGTGTGCGTCACATTTCGGTGTTGTACCCACGAGGATCTGCCACGTTCGGTCGTCGTCAAGTTTGCTCAGACGTACTGCCCTGAGGCCCATGAACTCTTGGCCGAGAAAGGTCTGGCCCCGCAGTTGCTTTACTGTGGGCCAGTCGATCCCTCACAGGACGCTCCCTCATACCAACCACTCAAGATGATCGTCATGGAGTATATCGATGGGAAGACCGTTGCACAGCTGCAGGGCAGAGTACCTCCTGAAGATTGCCAACAGCAGCTGACGCACATGCTGTCCCTTTTGCACAATGACGGGTATGTCTTCGGCGACCTCCGGTGGCCTAACGTTATGGTGGTGGGGAAGGACGTCAAACTCATCGATTTCGATTGGGCGGGGAAGGAGGGAGATGCAACATACCCCATTCACCTTGCTAACAACATTGTTTGGCCGCCAGGCGCAACGGCGATGGGGAAGATCGAGAAGGAACATGACATCCACATGTTAAAGAGTATGATTGATTCGTGTACCCAGCTGACTGGGTAATTAGCTAGTGTAGCATCGTATCCATAGGGCCAATAGACGCTTCAAGGCGCATCGACGTTGTTGTTTAGATCGTATACACAGAGGAGCAGAGTCCCCAGCAATTCTCGGCACTGTTGAGACAAACCATCGGATCTAGCAAGTTGATTCCTCCAGGAAGTGTGGTGGAAAAACAGAAGGTTTGCTTCATGTGCATATGACGTCACGCGTTTGGTACGGCGAGGCATCGTTGGAATCGATTTCAACTATCCGAACTTAGCGCGTTGAGCTTGAAAAATCGTTGGATACTCGTTGTGAGTGAGTACGTTCTACATACCACGGCAGGGCTGGCACCAATTTAGCGGCAAGTAGCCGTGCGAACTCGGTCCGGATATAGATGATTGACAGCTGATCTTACTGAGAGACCCATCTTCAGCTCCTACTACCATTCACGATGGCTCTCATCGAGGTTAGTTGCTCACATCCCATAACCCTGACTTTCGAATCGAATCGGCTCCAGATTATCGCGAACGATCGTCTCGGGCGCAAAGGTAAGGGACTTGCTTGGCGTGACGCACTCTGCTGAAGTCTGGATTGTGTGCACAGTGCGCGTCAAGTGCAGTCCCGACGACACGGTCGGAGATCTGAAGAAGCTCATCGCTGCCCAAACTGGAACTGACCACACGAAGATTCAGCTCAAGAAATGGTGAGTGTAAACTGTTACTACTTCTCGTTGGCTCGTAAACGTGTGTGCAGGTACACCATCTACAAGGATCATATCACGCTTTCAGACTACGAAATTCATGACGGGATGAGTCTGGAGATGTATTAGGAGTCTCCGGTCTTTCTCTCCATGGACATCGGGCACACTGAACTGTATTTCTCGCTACAAATGTGAATCTGCTACATTACTAGATTTGGTTATGACATGACATTGAGTACGCGGTGGTCTCATTAGGGTATCGTGAGTGTCTCGAGTGACTAGACAAGGGCGACCGCAGCTCCCAAAGTGATGGCCAGGCCGAAAAGCGAAGCTGTCACTGCGGATGCGTCACTGGTCGACTGTGAACTCGGGGTAGGCTGCAAAAGATGTCAATGAGGGCGAGCTACATCCTTGCAGATTATAGCTTACAGGATTTATCAGCCCGATGTTGTTCTTGTAAGCGATGACCGGTTGCAAGATCGGGTCAATGGGTGCGGGGATTGCCATGGCTGAAGCGCCGGTCAATTGGTTGCGTCAAGGGATCAAGGATCACGGACCAAACGCAAGCAAAGCAGAGACCACGAAAACAGGACCGAAGAGCATAAGTATTGTTGAGTGAAAGTGAGAGAGCGTGAGTAGGTTGATGCGTCAAGCGGAAAGGGAAGGTGAGATCGCAGTCTGATCGTTCCCAGACGGTGGAGCGGTTGCTTATAAACAGGCAGAGAACAAGGACTTTCGTCGTGGGCGGCCCAGCCATGGAAGTGCAGACAAGGAAACCACCGCATACAGGACAAGGCCAGTCACGTGTACGCTTCGTGTCCTTGTTCAGAAAACGGACTGCCTTGTCTTGAACGACAGCACCCGTAAGCCTGTTGGCGTATTAGCTGATTCTCATCCATGTGAAAACGAGAGGAGTAAATTCAGAAGAATAGATTTCGTCAGGACGCTTGTGCGTTCAGGGCTTGACTTCTATTTTGTTCATCACGATGAAAAACGGTGCGCAACTCACATTAGAGCCAACCATCTCCGTCTATTCCTTCTAGAGCCTACGATGCGGGCTGGAACCGCGCGTAATATCGCTTGGTATACGATTCGACAATCTCTTGTGTAGACTCCGGCAGATCTTCGACAAAATGTCCGGGGGAGCCTGCGTACAACGAGAGGGCGGGGATGACAGTGTTCGGGGGTACGATGGTGTTGTCTGCGACGCGTGCACAATCCTTGATAATGGTGAATTTCCCAATGACACAGTTTTTCCCGATCTCGACGTGGTTTCCGATGGTCGCGGCTTCGACAACAGACCCGGCACCAATGTGCACGTGGTCGCCAATTTTCATGGGATAGTAGTTGAAGTTTCCCCGGTAGGTCTTGTAGGGTGGACGCATGACGCATGCCTCCCCTACGAGACAGTAGCGACCCAGAGATATGACCACAGCATGACCGGTGCCCGTACGGCGAAGGTCCCCACGGATGATAGCGCCGCTGGAAATGATAGTTTTCCCGCCGAGGATGATGTTTTGGGGGCCCGCGATGGTCGCTCGCCGAGAGACCTTGTTCCCTGTGTCCTGAAAGAGAAGTGAGCATAGAGCAGAAGACCCCGGCAGTGGCGCTCACAGTCTCGATATACTCTGTCTTTGAGTAGTAAACGGGAGGTTCCATTCAAAACGAATCCACTGGTGCGGGTTGGGTATAACACAGATGCGATGTAAATTTGAGCTGTGTCCCTCTGTGCCGTAATATTTGGACTGATTCTGATTTGCAAATTTGGGCAAATTGCTACTGCATTCAAGAATGACACCGAAAATCGGCATTAAATTGAGGGATTTGTAAGGATAATTCGTTTCTAAGTGGCCCACGAGTATTCTGCCTATGGACAGAAGCGTAGATTTCCCGTACTCAAGTACCTGTGGATAAAAGAATATGGGTGCCCGTATCCGCGACATCAGCTCGGATCAAAACCCGCGGATGCTCACCCGCGGGTGATCCGGGTGTGACCCAATCCGTGGCCGTCGTTTATAGTAAGTCATTCGCGCTGGCCTTCAACGCGTCAAATGTCTCTACGACACCTGCACTTGCACCTGCGCGGCTGCCACGCTCGTCCAACTCTCACTCGATCATCGTTTTCTGCAACTCGCGCATTCTCTCACAGACCTTTGGCCGAAGAGCAAACCTCTGGCAATGACTGCGTCGCCGTGTCCCCTACAAACATCGTTTACCGCGGCCCGCTCACCCCCACCTTCAAACGGCTAAAGATGTTCTCGCTGTCGTCGCTGGGTCTCAGCTTCTCCATGACTCCCTTCATGTTTATCGTAGAATCCAACCTCCCGATGTCCGCCAGGGCTGTTCTCGCGTTCACAGCCATATCCACTACGAGTATTAGCACCGGGCTGCTTGCCTGGGCATCTTCGCCCTACGTCACCTCTGCTCTGCTCTCCAAGTTGCCCACTACGGGCGCGGTGCAGGAGATGGAGGTCAAAACATTAACCCTCTGGTTCAAGCCGCGAACAACTCGAGTACGCGCGCCACCCTCTGCTCGAATCACTGTTTCAAACCCTCGGATCACAGATCTTCGACCCCACGTTCTTGGTTGGGACCAACCGTCCGTTCGCGAACTTGGAGCTCGCACAGCTCGTGTTTCTACCTCCCGCGCTTCGTAATACGACACCTGGCCATGAGGAGACCGTCGCAGAGACCACTGACGAGAAAGGCGAAGTCATCGGTCGATGGGTCGTCAAATGGGCCGAGGGAGGCGAGGGGAGTTGCCATGAAGTCGGCAAAGTGATCAGGCGAGCGGTTTCTCCCTCCATGCCATGTCCAGCAGGAGCTCAGATTTACAGGCATTTCAATGTTCACAAGGAGCTTCTGCCACCACTGGTACTGGTCGACGCGCCTGCGGATGGCGTGGCGACTAAGCCGTAGTCCTGCACGAGGGGAAGTTGATTTATGTATCTATGTGCTAATTATCACCGCTCTTAATGCGACTTTCTGCAAGCACTTCTCCGAGCCTGTTAAGAACCGTTCATTTGCAGCGTGACTGGGTGGAAAGTGAGGCTCGGGCTGCCCTTGCCTTCCGCTTTTCAAATCTTGGCCTTCGAGTGAATAACGCAGTGTATGGGAGAGCAGGCCTCGAAAGGAAACGACGGCGGACGCCTGAGATATCAGTCGGAGAGCGAGAAGAAAGGAAAAGCTTGCCTGCATTGATTCTGAGACTGGAAGTGGTTATGATCACTGTCGGCCTGCCCTGCGTGAAAGGGTGAAATACACAATCCAGTGCAAACCGTGTGTAGCGTTACTTCACGGCGGAGATCAGGACCCACGGATGGAACTATGAATATAGGGGCTCCGTTACTTACCAGTAGTGACGCCTTCCTCTTCCCATTTACTCTCGCACGCTTGGCCTGAAATGAAATGCAGGCTTCGTTACAAATGAAGCACGACGATTCTGACATGGAAGCACTTGGCAATTGCATTCCTCTGCCTCGTGCCGTACACTGCTGCACTCATGCGACCGAGCGTGGACGTTGACAAGTCTACGGTGCAGGATCACGAACTTCTGAGTGCGGCTTCACCAGCGGAAGGGGTGCCCGATAGTGCTCCGAATTTCTCCTCGAATGGCCTGCCCTTTGCCGAACATCCCCGTCCCATCCCTGGGCTCATTCCGCTGCCCTACGGTAGACGAGACAGAGTGAAACTCCCGGAGGATCTCTCGGTCTCCTCTTCTGAATTACTTATTACCAGCGCGAGTCCTATGGCATACACGACTCTTCCGTGTGATGTTGGCCAGGGGCAGACAGAGTGTCTGTTCTACGCCGGAACAAAAGAGCTCTTCAAGGATATCCCTGGGTTCCCCCTTCCCCAACCGCAGCCTATGCAGCCAGACCCAGCTTATCGAATTGCGCCTGCGCCTGGCAAGGGACTGGGCCTTTTCAGCACTCGAGCGCTGAAGCAAGGGGAGCTGATCCTCAGCGAACGTCCGCTCATGATCGTTCCCCCCGGCATACGGCTGAGTCTTCCCGAGAGCCTAAGTCGAGAGCAGAGGATACAATACTCTCTGGACGAGCGCGAGCGTGTGCTCAGTGGCTGTGTTCAGCGCATGTCGCCTGAAAATCGTGCGGCTTTTTTCTCCTTAGCCAACAGTCACAAAGAAGATGGCAGCGGCCCCATCCTTGGTATCGTGCGCACAAATGGGCTGGGGCTAAGAGGGCTGCGAGTCGATACCGACGATGCCACAGGGTGTGCCTCGATGTACAGTGCAGTGCTGAAAGATATCGCTCGGCTGAATCACAGGTGCGTCAAGATGGCTGAGTTGTCACTCTTGCCCTGACCCATGCCCGATCTTAATCTTACTAGCTGCTCGGCCAACACCAAGCCCATCTTCGACCGCGGATCTCTGTCGTACAATCTCTATGCTGTCCGCGATGTTGCCGACGGAGAAGAGCTCACATTCCACTACGTCGACAGCTTAGCCCCTGCCGTAAAGCGACAGGAGGCCCTGGCGCCATACGATCTCGTCTGTGCCTGCGATGCGTGCAAGAATTCCAGCATCTCGGATGTGCGTCGCGCAGCAATCAGAAGTTTCTCCCCGTCCCCGGCTGTCTGGGCGGCCAACAAGAAGCTCTCTGACAAATGGCTGGTGGAGCAATGTATGAAACAGCTGCGGTTGATTGAGAAGGAGAAAGTCCAGTCTCGCGACGAATACCACAAGGTCCTCGCGGGCCTGCGCGACGCATACATCTGCCTCGGCGACGCCAAAAGCGCTAGCAAGTGGGCTGTCCGGGCGAACAAATGCGTCTGGGCCGGCGGTGCATCCACTGAACTCGAGGATCCTGCAGGTTCAGCCTATCCTTCCCATCCGCTATGGCTTACACGCAAGAATGGGGATCTACCTGGATTCATGCAGGCTTTGATTCAGCAAGAGATGGCCACTCTTGCGGTGGAGACATGCGTCCGTCCGTCGGACTTACCGCCGACTGGCAGCGGTCTAGCAGCTATGCTGAAGACACTGCTATTCAATCCGTTGTGATACAGTACATCTGTTTACCCCGCTTCGATCCAGTTTGGACTGCGAATGCATAGGCCGTGTAGGAAAGACAGCACAGCGAGAGAAATTCGAATGATCAGAGTTGCGTCCGTAGTCCAAGCATCGGCTTCTTCATGCGCATGGACTGAATTATGACCGCTGCCCATATTTACCACACGAGTGGAATAATTGAACATAATATTACAATTATGAGCTATAAAGATAATGCTGTTTAGACATTAGCCTCAGCTGCAGGATCCTTCGACCTCTGCGCAAAAATCTTGGACAGCGTGGACGACTTGTTTCTGAGCGGAGGTCTGGGTGTACTAGTAGCCGCCTCAGCATCCTCGACAGATCCCGTCTCACTCCGCCGTTTGTCTACAGTCAAAAAGTTAGTGATGACCGACCACAGGTTGTTCGCAGTCAGAGAATGCTCCTCGGGCCGCAGCATAGACTGGTCTGCAATCCGAGCCAGGCGCAGCGCCTCGTGCGTGTCTCGGCGCGAAACGATGCTGCTCGGAGGCGGATTTTCATGGTTGTCCAACGCCCACGCCCAGCCCCAATTCCCCGACACCGCCAGCCCCGACGACGTATCCGACTCGCCGTCCTCTCTGCCGACCATGTTCTGTATCAGCATCGTGTTTCTCACGATGTCCTTTTTCGCCTGCTCCAGGTTCCGCCTCCGGTGCTTCTCCACGGTCTTGAAAGCGCTCGCGAACTTGTTGTTGAACTTGCGCCGGCCGTCGATGTACCGCTGCATCGCCAGCTCAGAGATCACCCCGATCTTCTCCGGCTCGAGACTGAACGCAGCCAGTTCCGACTCTGGCTCGAGCGGCCGCACCGCCCCACGGGTAGACACCCGTTCCCGCAGCATCGCTCCATCCTTCCACTCTTTGGTCTCGTAGATCTCCGGCTCGCCGGCGGCCCGCTCCTCATCGAGCATCAGCGGTGTCGAAGGCGGCGATCCGGTCAGCGGTGCATCGCTCGGTGTCGTTAATAGATCCGACGGAGTGGAGACCAAACCCGGTGTTCCGAAATAGGAAAAGTAGGACGAGTTCCTGGTGTCTGCCTCATCTACGCCCAGGGAGGCAGATCTGGCCGGAGGAATCGGCAAAGAGGGCGACCGGAAGACGGACAGCCGTCTCGAAAGCAACCCAGAGCGGCGTCCCGGTTCCTGGCCGTCCGAGTTCGGAAACCCAGCGGAATTCATGGGGGACGGTGGGAGGGGAGGAAGATGACTCAGATTGTTCTTGTCAGCCCACTTCGTATTCGTGCTGCTGTCACGCCGGGGAGGAGGCTGCTTCATGCCCGTGACGTTTCTGCAGAATGCAGCGATCGCACGGTAGCAGAATTTGCCGGGAGTCGTAAAAGAGAAGAGGACAGGCAGGACGTGGGCCGTGTCGTCGTAGACCTGCAGATGCACGCGAGTTGACCCGTACTTTGCTTCGATGCCGTCCAACGGGGGGTACATCGCCCTGACCTCTTCCTTGATGGGATGTGTCTCAGGCTTTGCTGCCTTGTGAGCACTGTACACCGTTCAGCAGTCACTCGGGAAACTCGAATCAGGTGACTGACGCGTAGATGATTTCATCCCTCAGGACCTCTTTATCACTGGCAATGAAGAACAGAGGCGGGAGTCCGCCCAGATAGCTCAAGGAACTGGAAATTAAAGGGTGCGCGAGCTGCGAATTCTGCGCGTAGAGATGCACCTGCTGATCGATCTGTAGCTGGTTGCCAGAACTCGTAGTCAGCGTAAACACCTCGCTGCCTTGCAGTGGCATCGGTGCCGTCGCTCCAACATCAATCGCTGAATCAGTGTGGGAGGGAATCGGCAGAGGCGGCGTCGCTGGCTCGGAAAGGGGCTCAGCCTGGCCTTTGAACGTGCTACGGATCCAAGTGCGTAGTGACGCATGGACTCGCTGGCTCAGTTCCTCCGATGGCGGAGGCCACAGCGAGCTTGGTTTCTGAAACGACAGCCCGAATGCCGGAATGACGTCCGTAGCAGTGTTCGTGTGAATGCTCGGAAACGAATGCGTCAGATCGCACCATGGCGAGATCAGCACTCCCCCCGCGGGAAGAGGCAGCCCCGTGTCGCGAAGGACTTGCAACAACGCCAGAGTAAGGCCTCCCCCCGCCGAATCTCCGGCAACAACGATGTGTGCCGGATTCAGAGGCCTATGCGGTGCACCCGGTGGTGGTCGAATCAGATACAGATCTTTCGAGATCCATGGGTCAGAGAGCGCGAGGATCGCTGCGAACTCACTCACAAGCAGCCAAGATATCCTGCAGAGCACACGGAAAGGGATACTGCGGAGCCAGCCGGTAGTTGATAGCAAAAACCCGTCCGTTGATCTTGCGAGCATGCCGCTGGATGCTGTACCTCTCCTGGTCCACGCTGCCAAAATAGTACCCGCCTCCATGCGAGTAGAGTATGCACCGCATCTCATCCATGTGCGCCTCGTACGGCGCGGAATCGGGGCCAGAAGCGGACGACGGGCTGGGCGGGGGTTTGTCGCGCATCTTGTCGCGCCGCTTGGCCTCCTGCCAGTCCTTCTTCGCTGTAATCCACTGCGCGTCGATCCTGCGATTCCTCTCTTAGCACACGCGCGCGAATGAATGAGCGAGACGCTGGATCAGGTCGGGACGTACCCGGAGACACCTCGGACCTGCCACCACTTGCAGCCGCCGACCACGCGGCGCGCGACCTCTTCGCCTCCCAGAGCGGTAATAACATATTGAGCAGCATCGTCGCAGCATGACATCGGGATGACGAGTCGGACCACATGGACCCATGGTGGCGACGGGGTGCGTGTGTTCCCGAACGCTACATACAGCGCACGCGAGCTTGGGTGAGCATTTGATGGCCTGCAAGCCGAGGGAGACCGCACCTTGGACCTCTTCGACAGTGTGGCTGACTTCGATTGAGGAGCGGCTCCGAACATGATGAAACACTCACTAGCTAGCCTCAGTGAGAAACTTCTTGACGACCGTGAAGGCCTCGTCGTATAACAGCTCGTCCTGCCTGAGTTGCGTGATAGTAGGATCGTCTTCTTTCGCCTTGGATTTCAGGCGTTCGAGATAGTGCTTGACAAGAGTTTCGAGCAATATTGGCCCGAGTCTGAGCCCAGCCTGGGTCGTAAGGCCATTCATGGAGATGACAAGCTTAAAGAAGTGGAATGAATTACATGGACCAACCTGACAAACGCCCAGAGCACAGAGGGTGTCACGCTGTGATCGAGATTTGACCTCATCGTCACTCACCGTCACTCAGGTTTTGTCTCGTACCGGAGCCTCCGTGCAGCAATTTCCACACGCCGAAGTCATGTCCAGCCTCCCCTCTCTAGCCGACGTCCAGTTCGATCACGATGGTAGAACCCTCTGGCCTAACATACTCAGCGCGGAACAAGCAGCTCTGGAAGCAGCTCCGACAAAATCTAGCGCAAAGTACAACAACTCGCTCATTGGTATCCGTTTTCTGGGATTCTTGTTGCAGGATCTTTGGCAACATAACCAGCACTCCTTTGGTCTCACTCCGTATCAAAGACTCATCAAAGAGATTGCATCATGCCTGTCAATCTCCGGTCAGATCCCTGCTAGCGAGGAAGAGGCTGAAGCGCAGCATGGGCAGCTTCAGAACCTGGGATTGTTCTACCGTAATCACCTCATCCGCATTTGTAAGTCACATATTCTTCCATCACTTGGCAGTTCTCTGACCTTCCAGTTCGTTCGAATGGAGACCCGATACCCCAAAGCTCGGATCCTCCTTCCCGTCCATCCATGGACGTACTTCGAGATAGGATAACCAAAAAGATGAAGACCCCAACAACGCCACGTAGCGCGCGTCAGAGTGTAAGCCTTAGGCCGCTATACCAAGTTCTATCTAACTTGTTCTAGGCACTCATGCGGGATGGATACCGCTGTATGCTGACCGGCCAATACGATATCCATTCCGCTGATGTTTACCCTGAGTTAAATGATCGTGCGGTCGCTGACGGTGTGAGCATGGCGGTTACGCAATGTGCCCACATCTTTTCCGAGACCGCGCAGGATGATAAGCGGAAGGCGGATTTGAGTGCTTTCATGTGCGACAATGATGGTGCTGATAGATTTTCAGGCCAAATACGCTGCCAGCGCGATTGCAATTCTGAGAATGTTTGGGCTTCAACACGAGGCCGAGAACCTTGTGGGCAGCAACGTTCATCGACATTTCAACATTCTCACCATGCGGAGCGATCTACACAATCTTTTCGACCGCTTGGACTTTTGGTTGGAAGAAGTTGCAGGGGAGGCGAGCGATAATCAGTCCATTTCAATCCAGATGACTGACGTATCCGCATCAGGAAGACACTTACAATATTGTTTCTATCAAAGGCAAGGCATTGAAAATGGGCCTACCTCTTCCCTCGTGCGTCACCTTCCGGATCGATCCCGACGTGGTAGCAAGCTGCAAGAGGAATCAAACCAATCCCCTGCGCTGCCTTCACCCTCTCTCCTCGCCATACGCGCTGCCTGTTCGCGTGTTGCGCACCTGTCGGGGGCCGCTGAGCAAGTCGACCAGATTCTCCGTGATCTAGAGGATAGGCCTGTGATGGCAGAGGACGGCGGCAGTGCTCATCTTCTCGAGTCGCGCCTGCTGCAGTTGTCGCGTGCTGTTTCTATTGAGGCCTAGTGCCCCCAGGAGGGCCCTCTTCTCATTTCAGTCGCGTCTAGGAGTGCATGATGATTATTGAAACACTCTTCATCGCAGAATCTTGGAACTTAGCAACAATCCTTCAGACGATGGAATTGGATCATGGACATCGCTGGCCCGGAGCGGAGCTCAGCGCGCCATGACCAGACCAGCATTCCACCCACGAGAAGAAACAGCCACGCGTCGCAAAGAATTAGCAACAACGCGAGAGCAAGCCCTCCCGCCGCAAGAGCACACGGATCAGACTGTGGCAATTAGCCAGCGGAGGTCGAGTCCATGACCACAATGGATCATGTCATCGGAGACATGGGCAAAAAGAAGATGTAGAGATACAGGTACAGGTTACACATTATCGAAGCTATATGCCAGGGTATCCGATTATTAGTAGAACTATTTATCACTGTCCCGATCGAGCCTGGCCGCATTCCTACGGGCTGCTGACAAATTCACCTCTTCATGGCTCTGGCGATGGGCTGTTTTCCGTAGCCGCCACTCCGCATCGTCTGGCCGGCTCCTGGCACTGGACGCGGAGAACGTGTGTTCCCGCGGATCTTCGTCGTTGTGCTCATGACGGTTTTCTTCTTCTTCCGCATCTTTCCCTGCAAACTCGAACGGGAGCATGACTGCCCGATCGATTGCGACGGGTAAGCCGCGATGCCGGCCTCGTATCATGACGAAACAGACGATCAGCTTGGATAATGGCCGAAATGCACCAGAAAAAGAGTAGTTTTGCTGGCGGGGATCAGATCGTGCATGAAAAAAAGCGCAATGTAACATACTGTGGGTATCCCAAGACTGAGCCCAACAGTTCCATACGCAGAGACAAGCTCAAACACTGTTTTGCGTCAATTGAGGCCATCGAATTGCTCCAGTTTTCTGACGCACCCACTGAGAAGATGTTGAACCAACCAAAGTTTTCTTCCTTGTCGATGCTGCTCCGCTGGTCCAATCTCAATACGCAATAGCTCACACTGAGATAATCGTAGCACACCTCGATGATACAGACGAGAAAGACAGCTAGACCGAGCCACCACATGTCTGATACAACATTAGCCCACCGACCCAACGCGATAGATTGGCGAATACTCACCAAACGCCAGCTGCTTGCGGGCATGCATGGCCAAGTAGCTACTCCAGACCGTCATTCTGCTTTCGCCGTGCGGCTGAAAATTCCATTCGTCTTCCTCAGGTTCGCCATCTCGGAAGATGCCCAGCGACTGTTCTTCGTACACATTCGTTGATCGAACACTTCAGATCGTAAGCAAGAATTCGTCGCATTCGTCCAACTGCGAACCTCATGGCGATGGGATCTTCGCCAAGGATGTCAGAGTGCATAGACAGTGCCCAAGACAAGGACTTACAGACACTGATGTACATCATAATGAGATACAACACCCTGCTCCTCATCAGCACTAGAGCATTGAAGCCGGAATGCGACATACTTGACAGCGGGGGCCAGCGCAGAGAGTGCCACAGTCCCAAAACCGGCAGCGCGGACGGCAATAGCTTGCAGCAGCCCAATAGCAAACCGGGTGTTCAAAGAGATGCTTTCGATGGCAGGATTGCCAATGTCCAGCACCATAAAGAAGAACCAGTCCGTAACACTGACCATCAAGAACACAGAGCATGCAGGACATGGGCACTCACTTGAGGAAAAGAACGACGGTCGCCAGGAACCACGTTTGATGTGAAGGGAAGAGGTAAATGAAGCACCGCCGCGGGTGGTCCAGAAGAAATCGGAGGGTCTCGCCAGATCTCGATGATTTGGGCACAAACTTGGACAGAATCCAGCTGAAGACGCGAGTCAGTATCCCAACTTGAGTTTCATCGCAGATCCCGCAGATCTCACATGAGGAATCGCAGACTGAAGCCAATAAGATAAAATCAGCGAGGGTTGAGCTTCAATGAGCAGCCTTACAAGATGGGCTTGACCAATTTAGTGTGGTCAAGAAGAGCATATCAGAATCACTCACAAATGCCGTATTTCCGGCGAGGATGACAATGACCAGAAACACAATCATTGCATAGGCTTCTTGGAAGGGGACCATGGACTGATCAACCAGAGACATGCCTGTGTTCGTGTATGCGGAGACGACCTGGAACAACGCAAACCTGAATTCAAACATGAGAGATGCGTCGATTTGATTGAAAGCGCGACCGACCACGCCGGCCGGATACGACTATGCTGCTTAGGAGTCTGGAAATTAGCAGCCCATCGCGGTGTCGAGATGTAGGGAGCGATGACCGTGAAAGCGACGAGTTGTATCCCAATATGATACTGGGTGCGTCTTCAGCGTGCAAGCGACCCACCGCACTGAGATCCACGCACCCCAGCGACGATCCACAACAGAGCATTCAGTGCCCGGTACTCGACGCCTCCAAGCTCGTCTTGTTGTTCGGCCGTCAGTTCCTTGAACAGAGAATTCCGTCCAACAATCGCGTCGAACGAAATGTATGGAGCAGGCTTGATGCCCAGGCCGCCATCGCCACCACCGCGAGAAGCCAGCGTCATCGTCGGCGGCAACGTCAACGTCCGGGTCAGTTTACGTTCCAACTTGGGAAAGAATCGCGTGAAAAGATCCCGCGCGATCTGGAGGGGCATAGGAAAGCCCCCGAACCCAGTATGTTTCGCACCGCGGCTGATGTTGGATGGCGGTCCGTCCTGCATTCCGCTGCTCATTCGCTGAGAGCCTAGAGATAGTCAATCAGTCGTAGCAACAAGAAGCAAGTAAGCCCCTGCTCACGCCGAGAGTTCACGGAAGACTCGTAGTCTAATGTCGAAAGCCGGTGTGTTCGATCACGCCGTGTTCCAGGAGCGAATTCGACCGTTTGGGTTCGGGGGAACAGTGCACCCATCGCCACGGTATCAGATCGCGGAAATGAGTTGGTGACGGGAGAGGCGGGCACCGGCGTGGTTCGACCGGGATCAGAGAGTCTTCGACTGCAATAAGTCAGTGTACGAACGAAACTGCTTGGAAGGTCCAAACCTTCGCGGGGGACGCAGTGAGACCTCCGATCGCTCGCCAGCCGATGGTGTTTGCAGAGGTGTCGGCTCCTCGGAGATAGGCTCAGGACTCGAGACCATCGTTCCTGTGAACGACAAATGCTGTGGGCGTGTGCCCTTGGATTCGGGGGCAACGTGCTCCTCCAGAGGGATATCCTCTACATCCGGGGGGTCATCTACTTTTTTCTCGCCTTCCGCTTTGGCGTGCCGCTGCGCCGATTCTGCCTCACTAATCCAGCCGCTCGGATTAACCAGTTGCGGAGGTTGATCCATGCGCCGAATCATATCGGGGCGAAGCTTGCGTACAGAACCCATGAGTCCCTTGGTATTCTTCTTCTTTGCCTTGACCGCCGCCAGGTCCTCCTTGCTCATCTCCTCCACCGCCGACAGCATCGTTTTGCGCGACAGCAGCGTGCTGAAGCGGCGCGTCCATTGAGGCGGTGCGTTACCCCGTGCCTCAAGTGAATCGATCCGGGCGCTTGCTGCAGCGATAATGTGCTTGAACTTCTTGGCAAAGTAATACCTTGGTGACGACTTAGGTTTAACGAGTCCTGATGTGAAAAAGGAACGCGCCAACTCACCGACGGAGGTACACCATGACCCAGGATACGACAACCTGCACCAACTGGGATGAGGAAGGAAAACATATAATTCATGCATCACCACGCACAGGACTCCCCAAGCACATCTGGATGAACAGGATGACTTGTTGCCAGGCCGTGAGCGAGCTTAGATCGACCGTAGCAAGCCCACAGACGGTCATCGCGCTGACGGAGTTGTAAAGCGCGTCGATATAAGATATGTGCGTGTGACCATTGGAGGCGTAGAAGATCCCTGAAAAGATGAGGGGTGTGAATGTGCTTGAAAACGACGTGAGGGCCGTTGTGTGACGCAGAGATGAGGAGGGCGTACAAGAACAAGATGTGGACTCGGTAAAAGTTGAGATGTTTGGTCAAACTCCGCCAGGTCGAGCGCATTCGACGTTTCGCGGGGCTCGCGACCGCGAGCTCAGGGAGAAGATTTCAGATCACGACCGAAGATCATCAAAGAGATACATGACGTCATGATTCTCTTGCGAAGTCTGCTTCAAGCGTTGGCTCATTTACTACGTAGGATATATACAATGCGTGCTAATGCAGAACCACGAATAGAGGAAATGCAATGAGAGATTCAGAAGGGTCGAAAATATGACGGCTGACGATGATGAGTAGATGACGGCAGTCTATGCTAATAACTCCAAAAGCTTCTCCGGCTCCATTGACTTGTTTGCAAGCTCAGTCCTCCGGTCAGCATCGAACGGAATCGACTTGATGATCGCAGCCATGTTGTTTGGAGCCTTCGGAGCATCGATGGCAATGTCCTCGAGGATCTCGACGAGAACAGCCAAACCCTCTTCGAAGGCATCCAGAGTGCACAGATTCTTCTCCGAGACGCGAACGAACAAGTCAGCCACGAGCTGGGCGTCGGCAGGCTTCGACTCGACGGCCTTGCCGGCCAGCTTCTCGACCAACAAGTGATGGTGGACCGGCGGCAGTGCCGTGAAGTAAACCTCGGCCTCGTCCAGGTTCTTAACGGCGAAGAACTCTTTCAAGTCTTCGGAGATCTTCGTGTTGGCAGCTGCCTCGTCCATCTGCGGAGCGGCAGATTCCTCGTCCTCGGAGCCATCGTCGGAGCCCACAGGGGTCGCTTCTGCTGTTGACCCCTCTGTGGGTTTCGTCCGGGGTGCAAGAACGAGCTTGCGCCTCTGCGCTGGAGGTTCTGGAGTCGCCGCTGAGTGACAAAGTCAGCGCCCATACGAGTAAACCGTGTAAAATGGGCTCACCCTTGACTTCAGCGCTCTCGGACTGGCTCAGCATGGAGAACATATTTGAACTCATGGAGCTAGCACGAGAGACAGAAGCCGACTCGCGCTTGCTCTCTTTGCTACGACCAGAAAAGACATTGCTCGGACCAAAGGTCGCAGGAAGACCCTTGC